CTCGAGGAAAAGTGCGAGTTGCAGGAAAACTGTACAAGTTGTGAAAAATCAGATTGTCTAAATAATCTACACTGCGAACGTGTAATTTAATACAGCCAATAAGTGCCCACACAGTGATGGGTTAAGAGCACATTTCCCCCGAATCAATGCATCTTGGACTGTCACCACATGCATATTGAAAGCCAAGCGCTGGTATGGCACTGAATCGCGGGTTTGTTGTGGCTTCTAGTTTTCCCATCAGCATAAACGTGAAGAAGAAATATCTTGTGGAAACAGTTCATGCCAATCTCGCTTGTGGTCAGCTTTTGAGGAAGAAAGAAACCAGTAAAAACCTGAATATCTAAAGGTTAGCCTTTACAGCCACAACAAGAAAATTACACTTGTAAGTTGCCTTTCATATTCAGAGGATGTCACAAGGTATTGGACAACAACAACAACAACAAGATTCCATTTATAAAGCGCCTTTCACGTCAGGAGGACGTCCCAAGGCGCTGCACAGTTGGGTCATGACCCGAGCAGGGGGGAAATGGTGAGGGGAGGGAAGGGAGGGAGCGAAGAGGGGGGAAATGGTCAGGGTAAGGGGAGGGAAGGGAGGGAGCGAGGAGGGGGAAGAGAGTCGAGAGGGGAGCTGAAGGCTCGGTCAAAGAGAAAGGTTTTGAGACCGGCCTTGAAGGAGGAAAGGGAGGAAGCGGCGAAGGCACTGGGGGATAGAGTTCCAGAGCCTCGGGGCTGAGAGGCTGAAGGCCCGACCACCGATGGTAGGGCGGTTGGGGCGGGGGACGTGGAGCAGACCGGAGCCAGAGGAACGGAGGGTACGGGCAGGTAGGTAGGGGGATAGTAGGTCGGAGAGGTAGGAGGGAGCAAGGCCGTGAATGGCCTTGTAGGTGAGGATGAGGATCTTGAAATCAATCCTCTGGGGGATGGGGAGCCAGTGGAGGCGAGCGAGGGTGGGAGTGATGTGGTCGCGGAGCCTGGTGCGGGACAGTACACGAGCTGCAGAGTTCTGAATGACCTGCAGCTTGTGGAGGGAGGTGGCGGGAAGGCCGGCGAGGAGAGAGTTCCCATAGTCCAGCCTTGAGGTGACAAAGGCGTGGACCAGGGTTTCAGCAGCGTGAGGGGTGAGGTAATGCCGTAGTCTGGCGATGTTCCGGAGGTGATGGAAGGCGGTGCCAGTTGTGGTGCGGATGTGAGGGAGAAAGGACAGCTCAGGGTCGAACAAAACGCCGAGGTTCCTGACTGGCTTTGAGAGGTGGAGAGTGCAGCCTTGGATGCTGATGGTGTCAGCGCCTGAGGTGCGGAGGCGCTGACGTGAGCCAATCAGGAGGGCCTCGGTTTTTCGCACGTTGAGCTGAAGAAAGTTGTCTCTCGTCCAGGACTCGATGTCGGACAGGCAGGCTGTCAGGACATCGGTGGTCGTGGAGTTGAGAGTAGAGGAGGAAAGGTAGAGTTGGGTGTCATCCGCATACATGTGGAAGTTAACTCCATGTCTGCGGATGATGTCACCGAGGGGGAGCATATAGAGGGTGAAGAGGAGGGGACCGAGGACAGAGCCCTGAGGGACACCACATGAGACAGTACGGGGGGTGGAGGAGAAGCCATTCGTTGAGACAAAGTGAAGACGGTGAGAAAGGTACGACCTAAACCATTCAAGGACAGTGCCTTGAAGGTTGAGGTGGGAGGACAAGCGGTGGAGTAGGATAGCGTGGTCGACCGTATCGAATGCTGCCGATAGGTCGAGGAGGACGAGGAGACAGAGGGAGCCCTGGTCACAGATGGTCAGGATATCATTGGTGACCTTGACCAGGGCAGTTTCTGTGCTATGGGCAGCACGGAAACCTGACTGAAGGGGTTCAAAAAGAGAATGGGTGGAAAGGAAAGAGCGCAGTTGGGAGGCGACAACTCTTTCCAAGACCTTGGAGAGAAAGGGGAGGTTGGAGATGGGCCGGTAGCTTGATAGCTGCGACGCATCAAGGGAGGGTTTTTTCAGGGTGGGCGTGATGATGGCAGTTTTTAATGGAATGGGGACAGAGCCAGAGGAGAGGGACAGGTTGATGATGTCAGTGATATGTGGGGCAAGAAAGTGGAGCTGGGAGATAAGGAGTGGAGTGGGGATGGGGTCAAGGGAGCAGGTGGTTGGTTTTAGGGATAGGATGAGTTCAGTGACAGAGGGTGGGGAAACGGGTACGAAGGTGTGTAGGGGAGGATGGGTAGGAGTCGGAGTGTGGGAGGGAAGGGGTGGGTGGTGGGTGGAAGTTGGAGGGGAAGTGACCGCGGAGCGGATTCCCTTGATCTTGGATTCAAGGAAATCCAGCATCTCCTCGCAGTGAAGGTTGGAGGAGATGACCTGCGCGGGGTGGCGGGGGGGACGGAGGAGTCGGGTTGTGGTGGAAAACAGTAGCCTGGGGTTGTTCTTCGCCTCCAGGATTATCCTGGAGTAGAAGGACGACTTGGCCGAGGCTAGAGTGGAGCGGTAAATTTTGAGGAGGTCCAGCCAGATTTGTCGGTGGACCGTTAGGCCAGATTTGACACAGGTGCGTTCAGCAGCCCGCACCTGGCTTTTCAGTGAGCGGAGGTGGGTGGTGTACCAGGGGGAGGAGCGGGAGTAGGAGACAGTGCGGGAAGTGATGGGGGCAAGAGTATCGAGTGTGGAGGAGAGGGTATTGTGGAGGAGGGAGAGAGGAGAAGAGGGGTCGGTGAGGGTTGAAGGCCAGAGGGAGAGGAGTTCAGAGGACTCCAAGGCATCGGTTAGGGATTGTGGGGGTAACTTCTTCCAAGGGCGGTAGAAGATGGTGGTGGGTCTGGTGGAGGTGGGGAGGGGGGTGGAGGTGGTGAAGGAGATGAAGTGGTGGTCAGAGATGGCCTTGTCGGTAATAGTGACATCCGAGACACTGAGGCCCCGGGTGATCACCAAATCGAGTGGGTGGCCGTGACTGTGAGTGGGGGAGTTTATGTGTAAGGAGAGGTTGAGTGAGGAGAGCAGGGAAGAGAAGTCTGTGGAGATGGAGCAGGAGGGTGTGAAGTGTAGGTTAAAGTCGCCCAGGATGATGAGGCGATCGGAGCAGAGGCAAAGAGATGTGAGGAGTGTTGAAATGTCAGAGATGAAGGTGGGAGAGGTTTTAGGGGGCCGGTAGAGGAGGAGGATTTTAAGGGAGAGGAATGAGGGGTGGGAGAGGGTGAGGTGCTCAAAGGAGGGGAAAGAGCCAGTGGAGTAGGGGGATAGGGCAAGTGGTGTCCTTGAGATAAGGGCAACACCACCGCCACGGCGGTTGGGGCGGGGGATGTGGTGGGAGGTGTAGCCGGGTGGTGTGGCCTCCGTGAGGGCAAGGTGTCGCCTGGGGTGAGCCAGGTTTCTATTAAGGCCATGATATCAACGTTCTTATCAAGGATGAGATCGTTGATGACCAGGGCCTTGTTGCAGAGGGAGCGGACATTTTGCAGTCCGATGTGGAGGGAGCGGTTGACAGAAGGGTGTGTGGGAGGGGAGGGGGTCCAGGTTGTGAGGCAGGGGTGGGGGAATGGGGATAAGGGAGGAGAGGTTGACTCCCCGGGTCTGTGTCCGGGGTGGGTGGCGAGTGTGGTGGGGAATGGGGCAGTCGGTGTGGCTGCTGCTGGACAGCCAACGCCGAGTGCCGCGGTGAGCCCGGCGGAGGATTCCCAGGCTGGAGCAGAGGGAGGTTGTGGGAGGGTCAAGTGGGGATAGAAGACGAGAGGGACGGAGAGAGAGGAGGAGAGAGCGGGAGAGATGGAGAGGGGGGAGGGTTTGGGGGAGAGAGGAGGGGCGCGGGAGGGAGGGGGTGAGGGGGCTCGGGTCAAAGCGGCAGCCATAGTGCGCACGCGGGGACCGGGAGCGAGCGGTCAGGTGGATGGCATTATCCCGTAGATTGGGGCAGCAAACGCAACAGGACCATAGTGGGCTCTGATGTGAGCCCTGGGGGGGGAAAGGGTTTTTTTTTTTTTTTTTTGTGCGCGCGCACGCACCTGAAAACTAATCTATGACTTCGCAGTTCCCGCGCTCCGCCCCCACACCTCCCCCCACCCCCTCCCCCGGGGCTGAACTCGCTCCGGCGTCGAGTTTAAGTACCTGGGTCAGTAGGGCCAGGCTCCTCCCCGCGCTCTCCTGCCGCCGCTCCCCGACAAAGAGAAAGACGGGCTGGGGAGGGTGGGGCGAGAGTAAGAGACAGAGAGGGGGAGACAGATTGATTGTTACAGAGACTGATAGAAGTGAAACAGAGTGTGAGAGTGTGAGTGAGAAAAGAGGGCGAGAGTGATTGACAGAAATGGTGGATGGAGTGAAAGAGAAAGACGGGCTGTGGCGAGAGTAAGAAACCGAGACAGAGAGAGAAAGCAGAGACAGAGAGTGAAAGGGAATAATTGAGCGTGTGGGTGGAGAAAGTTTTTGCGAAAGAGGAGAGTGAAGAGGGGGAGTGAGTGACAGAGAGAAGGGAGATAGAGAGAGTGTGAGAGGGGAAAGAGACAGAGAGGGGTGATGTCGTGTGGGGAGAACGGGTGTGTGTGAGAGTAACTGAGAGAGGGAGGCAATGTGTGAGAGAAACAAAGAGAGGGGGGGAATAGAGTGATTGAGAGAGTGATACAGAGGGAGTGTGAGGGGAAACAGAGAAAATGAGCGACAAAATCCACAGCATTTACCACAATATTAAAAAAATTGGCATCTCCAATAAGTTTATTTCTTCCTTTCCCATTCGGTATTTTGAAAATCCCTGAAGCCAAACTTTTGTTGCACACCTACAAACAAAGAACCATAGAGATGTACAGCACAGACGAAGATTATTCAGCTTATGGTGGATGTGATGGCACTTTTTGATAACAATCCTTTCAGTCCCATTTCCCTGCTATGTTTCCAAATGCATTTGTAGATAGTTCATTCCTTTTAGATCTATATCTGGATATGTTTTGAAAGCCAATATAGATTCTGCCTCAACACCATTCCCGCCAGAGCTTTCCGTAACCCAACAACCAAATGTGTATGACAACATATTCTCCAAACCTCCTCATTTACTAGTTTGCTATCTCTCTATCTTAAATTGATGCTTTAAGAACTGAACCCCGACCAGTGGAACTTTTATAGCAGTTAAAGTTTGAGTTTCTGTGGAAATCTCCTAGGGAACAGGGCGAGGCTATGATTTACTGCCAGACATTAGCTGCTGGACTCTGACCAGGGTGTGTTATTACCTGTACAGCCCAGAACACTGAAGCCACATCACGAAGAGGTTCGGAAACCAGAGGCAGGAACCGCAGCTCAGTCAGCGGGGAGACAAGACGGTGAGTCTCTCATTAGCTCTGATTGTGGCTGAAACAAAACAGTAAAGTTACACCAGGTTTTAAGCACTTGGAATGAGAAGATAGAAGAAATAGAGTGCGCGTGAGAATTGAGAGGGGGAGGTTGGAGGGAAGAATGGTTGACAGGAATAGGGAGAGAATGATAGAGAGAGAGAGAGTGTAGATGAGTGAAAGAAACAGAGACAGGAAGAGAGGGAAGGGGGGAGAAAAATCAGGTGTGTGTGAGTGATCGATAGTGTGAGAAGGAGAGTGTGTGTGTGTTAGAGGGGGAGGCAGAGTGCGGTAGAGAGACGATGGGGTGAGAGAAAGAAACAGAGACCGGGAGGGAAAGAGGGAATAAGCAAAGCGGTGAGAGATTGGCAGTGAGTGACTGTACGACAGAGGCAAAGAGATAGCTATTGAGTGAGAGAGTGTGTGTGAGAATGTGAGTGAAATGTGAGTGGCAAAGTGATTGACAGAAAGGAGGTGAGAGGGAGAGAGGTGGTGAGAAAGAAACAGAGATATGGAGACAGAGAGTGAAAGAAAGTGAATAAGATTGTGGGAGGAGAGAGTGTTTGTGAAAGAGAGGGAGAAAAGGAGGAGTGAGTTATCGAGAGAGCGTAGACGGAGAGACTGTGAGAGGCGAAAGGGAGTGTGAGTGGAGGGAGGGCTGGTGTGGGAGATGAGTGTGATAGAGAGAGAGGAACTGAGAGAACAAAAGAGTGTCGGTAAGACAGAGCGAGAGGGGGGAGCCAATGACTGAGAGAGGACAGAGGGAGTTTGTGTGAGAAGTAAAAGAGAAAATGAGAGAGAAACTTCATAACATTTAACACAATAAAAAAACGAGCGTTTCCAATATATTTTTTCCTTCCTTTACTGATCAGTTTTTTTGTAAATCCCTGAATCCAATCTTTTGTGCCACACTCACGAACAAAGAAACATGTTGATGTGCAGCACAGAAGAAGGATGACTGTGGCTATTTTTATGAAAATCCTTTCAGTCCCATTTACGTTGCTCTTTTCCCAAACCCCTTTTTAGATAGTTGACTCCATTTAGATCGATATCTTGTGATGGTCTAAAAACCAATCTGGAATCTGCCTGAAACCTCATTCTCACCAGTGCTTTCATAACCCCACAACCAACTGTGCAGGAAAACAAATTCTCCAAACGTCCCCATTTGCCAGTTTGCTAACTCTCTGAAATTGATGCTTTAGGGATTGATCTCTGACCAGAAGGACTTTTATATCAGGTAAACTTGAGTTTCTGTGGAAATCTCCAAGGGAACAGGGCGAGGCTATGATTTACTGCCAGACATTAGCTGTTGGACTCTGACCAGGGTGTGTTGTTACCTGTACAGCCCAGAACACTGAAGCCACTTCACTGAGAGGCTCGGGAACCAAAGGCAGGAACCGCAGCTCAGTCAGCGGGGAGACAAGACGGTGAGTCTCTTATTAGATCTGATTGTGGCTGAAATAATGTCATACTATTATCCCAGGTTGTAAGCGCACAGAGAGAAAAACCCATATAAATGCAAGTTTTGTTGTTCGTGCAACATTTATTGTAATTAAGGAAACCATGAGTAACTGAATGAGCAAGAGTTAAAATATCATTTGTTTCATAAACGGAAGATCTCGCTTTACGACTTTGATTACGGTCACCTCTTCCCTCCCTCACACATAGTGTCCTCCACCACTCCAACATTCTCCGACATACTGTCCGGCGTGTTGGCCGCTATATCAATGCAAGTTGTTGCTGTTATTTGAATTAATCATCGTAGAACCGTTTAAGAAATCAACGGTCTCCGAAATCCATTGGGGAACTTGATTGATCTGAACTATTGTTAACATACTAATGTGGAATTTAAGCAACAGCCAGGCGGTCGGGCCGAATCTGAGCTGTACTTTCTATGCATCTATGAATCAGCTTGTTTCATCCTTGTTCAAAGTTCATTCCTCAATCATTTGTGATTATCCTGGTTGTTCTCTTCTGCACTACCTTAAGGAACTGTGCCAACACTTTTGTCAGCCATTGCCTCAATCCTTCCACCTTGCGGTTTTGGTTGGTTGGACTCCAGCAGTTACCCCAACACACATTCTGGTCTCCCCTCGCCTTGACTCTTGCCAACCTGCTCCTAATACTCTCCGAATTAAGTGAGCAGAGTGGTCCGTCCAGAGGGAGGGTGCTCATTCCATTCCAACTATCTAACTCTGGAGTTTCCATATGTAGTTTGGGATGTATGAAAATCTCAGCTTTGTTTTGGATCATGTTCGGTTTGTTGATCGGTTTTCGGTGGGACAGACACTCGGCTGACAAAAAAATTCAGCTCAGATACCACATTGCTGCTGATATGCTCCAAGCTGCAACCCACGAGAAGGGCACAATACAGTTGTTGTTGCTATTGTTTTTATTTCCTCCTCTGAGACGTCTCTTTTGTTGGGCGCAGTTTGTCCAACGATAGTTTAAGACACATCCCACCAATTCGAGAGACCAGTCAGCTCAGAATATGGAGACGCTATTGAGGCTGAATGGTTCTCAATTGCTTTACCCTGGAGGAAGTAAGACTAAATTATGTTTCAGTCTACAATCAAACGGACTGAATGCCGCCATTTTCTTTCTCTTTCTCCGCAAGTGGAAACGATTTTTGACAAAATGGTACTCAAGTTGTTGACTTTCAAGGACTATCTTCCTGGTCCCAAGTCCGGAGCCCAACCCACAGTTCCATTAACTGAAATTATTCATAAAAGGCAACATTGCATATTGGCAATCATAAAGCTTCACTAACTGCTACACAAGTGAGGTTCAAAGATCAGGATCAGGAGATTAGATAAAGAGCGCAGTGGATGCTCTAAATTGGGAATGTTGCTACAATGAATCAAAGGTAAATTTGAAGTGGGAGGTGGCAATGTCACGCTGGTGTATGTCTGATGATGGATGGGAAAACAGATTCCAAACTACTCTTGCTCTGTAGCAGACTGTAAAGTTTCTGGAGAGATGCTTTATTGGAGACACTCTCTGAAATGGATAATGACTAGAACTCGTCACTCTTGTTCTTGTTGTATAAAATTAGACAACAAGTGCTTTATATTGTGTAGCTGATGCAGCGTATCATCAAAGATCACTTGACAGAATGTGTAAAAGAAGTGAAACGAGATTAATTGAGAAAGATTGAGAGGATAGACGAGAGAGCGAGAGTGTGCCTGAGTCTGATTTACAGAAATGGGGAGAGTGTGTTGGAGAGAGGATGGGCAGGAGAGAAAGAAACAGTTTCAGGGAGAGACAAATGGAGAAAGCATTGAGTGACCGAGTGACTGAGATTGTGAGACAGAGTGTGTGTGAGAGGGGTGGAGATGGGCAGTGAGGGATAACGATTGTGAGAGAATGAGAGAAGGGAGAGTGTATGGTTAACAGTATGAGTAAGAAATGAGAGAGACAGTGGAAGGAGAGGGGTGGATGGACATGGTGTCAAGAGAGAGATAGAGTGAGTGTGGGGTGAGAGAATGAAACAGAAGTTTATGAAGTGGGAGAAAGCAAAGAGATGAGAGAGAAGCAACGCGTGAGTGTTTGACAGAGGGGGAGACAGACTGATTGTTACAGAGACTGATAGAAGCAAAACAGAGTGTGAGTGATTAAAGAGGGTGAGAGTGATTTAGAGAAATGGTGGATGGAGTGAAAGAGGAAGACGGGCATTGGGGGTGTGTTCGGGTTGTGGCGAGAGTAAGAAATAGAGACAGAGAGAGAAAGCAGAGACAGGGTGTGAAAGAGAAGAGTGAAGAGGGGGTGTGAGTGACAGAGAGAGGGGAGACAGAGAGAGTGTGGAAGGGGAAATGGAGTGAGAGCGGTGATGTCGTGTGGAGAGAAATGGTGTGTGAGAGAGAGTAACTGAGAGATGGAGTGAATATGTGAAAGAAACAAAGGAAGAGGGGGGAGAGAGTGATTGAGAGAGTGATACAGGCAGAGTAATAATATTAATAATAATCCTTGCATTTGATATAGCGCTTTTCACGTCGGGAGGACGTCCCAAAGCGCTTCACAGAACACACAGTAAAGTGAATTTACTGTATATTTTTGGGGGAAAGTGGCATCCAATTGTGCACAGCAATGTCGCACAAACAGTCGTAGACTGAAAATGACCAATTTATTATTGTTTTTGGTTTTGGAGTGATTATTATTAGGCTGTGTGTGGAGTAAGGAAACTTGCTCAAGGTTTCACCCTGTGCCTGGAATTGGACTCGGGTCATTCGCTTGCAAAACGAGTGCTCTAACCACTGAGCTACAGGACTCCACAGAGTGTGAGAGTATAGAGAGAAAATGAGTGACAAAATCCACAATATTTACCGCAATAATAAAAAAAAATTGGCGTCTCCAATAAGTTTATTTCTTCCTTTCCCGTTTAGTTTTTCGAAAAAACCCATAAAGCCAAACTTTTGTACCACATTCACAAGCAAAGAAACATAGAGATGTACAGCACAGACGAAGATTATTCAGTTTATGGTGGATGTGATGGCACTTTTTATGACAATTCTTTCAGTCCCATTTCCCTGCTCTGTTCCCAAATCCATCTTTAGATAGTTCACTCCTTTTAGATCGATATGTAGACATGTTTTGAAAAACAATATGGATTCTGCCTCAAACACCATTCCCGCCAGGGCTTTTCGTAACCCAACAACCAAATGTGTAGGACAACATATTCGTCAAACCTCCTCCTTTGCTAACTTGCCATCTATCTATCTTAAGTTGATGCTTTAAGAACTGAACCCCGACCAGTGGAACTTTTGTAGCAGGTAAACATTGAGTTTCTGTGGAAATCTCCTAGGGAACAGGCCGAGGCTATGATTTACTGACAGACATCAGCTGCTGGACTCTGACCAGGGTGTGTTATTTCCTGTACAGCCCAGAACACTGAAGCTCATCACTGAGAGGCTCGGAGCAGAGGCAGGAACTGCAGCTCAAGCAGTGGGGAGAGAAGACGGTGAGTTTCTCATTTGCTCTGATTGTGACTGAAATAAGGCAGTAAAGCTATTTCAGATTTTTAGCACTTGGAATGATAGGAGGAGAGATATAGTGCGCGATAAATGAATGGGAGACAGAGGGTTGGAGGGTACAGTGGTTGACACAAATGGGGGAGAGAGTGATAGAAAGGGCGTGGGTGAGTGAATGAAACAGAGACCGGGAGAGAGCCAGAGAGAGAGACACCATACTGTGAGTGAATGATTCAGAGTGTGGGAAAGAGTGTGTGTGTGTTAGGAGAGGCGTAGAGAGCGAATGGTGGAGAGAGGATGGGTTGAGAGAAAGAAGCAGAGACTGGGAGGGAGAGAGTGGGAGGAAGCAGAGCAGTGAGAGAGTGACAGTGAGTGACTTTATGGCAGAGGGTGAGAGAAATGTGTTCAGAGTGAGAGTGTGGGTAAGAATGTGAGTGGGAAAGTTATTGACGGAAAGGAGTGAGAGATCGAGAGAGAGTTGAAGTGGTGAAAGAAATAAAGAGAGACAGGGAGAAAGCAGAGACACAGAGTGAAAGAAAGTGACTGAGATTGTGGAAGGAGAGAGTGTGAAGGAGAGGGGCGAGTGATTGATCGAGAGAGTGGAGATTGAGAGACTGTCAGAGGGGAAAGAGTGTGTGAGTGGAGGGACAGGCGTGTGTGAGAGAAGGGTGGATAGAGAGGGAGAGAGAGAGAGGAATTGAGAGAGTGAAAGAGTGTCTGAGACAGAGCGAGAAGGGTGAGCCAATGACTGAGAGAGGACAGAGAGAAAGTGTGAAAGCGAGAAAGTGAGAAAGAAGGAAAAGAGGAAATCAGAGAGAAAATCCACAATATTTAACACAACATAAAAAACGAATATCCCCAATACATTTTATTCGGACCTTTCCCAATTAGTTTTTTGAAAAATCCCAGAAGCCAACATTTGGTACCACACCCACAAACAAACAACCATAGAGATGTACAGCACAGAAGAAGGTTTATGGTCACAGTGGTGGCACATTTTATAACAATCCTTTCCTTCTCATTTGCCTACTCTGTTCGCAAATCGCGCTTTAGATAGTTCACTCCTTTCAGATAGATATCTGGACATGTTTCGAAAGCCAACATGGATTCTGCCTGAAACATCCCTCCCGCAGGGATTTCCATAACCAAACAACCACCTGTGCAGGAAAAAAACTCACCAAACCTCCTCATATGCTCGTTTGTTAACGATCTTAAATTGGTGCTTTATAATAATAATAATAATAATGCTTGCATTTGATATAGCGCTTTTCACGTCGGGAGGACGTCCCAAAGCGCTTCACAGACACTTAATCCCGAACAGTGAAACTTTTATAGCTGATAAGCATTTATTTTCTGTGGAAATCTCCGAGGGAAGAGGGCGAGGCTGTGATTTACTGCCCGCCGTTAGTTGCTGGACTCTGACCAATGTGTGTTATTACATGTACAGCTCAGAGCACTGAAGCCACATCACTGAGAGGCTCGGAAACCAGAGGCAGGAACCGGAGCTCAGTCAGCGGGGAGACAAGACGGTAAGTCTCTCATTTGCTCTGATTGTGGCTGAAAAAAAGCAGGAAAGTTACTGCAGGTTTTAAACGCTGGGAGATGCCTCTCCATGCGAACGTCACAAGATAAATGCAACTTGTTGTTTTGTAGTTAGTGAAAGTTTAATGCTATTAAATAAACCCGGAGCCAGTGATCATGGAATCATTTAAATGTAATTTGCTTAATCAATTTAACTAACCACCGTGACATCTTTTAAGGGAGAAATGTTCTCTAACATCTATTCGTGAACTTGATTGATCCGAAATATTGCTGATCAACGATGGGCCCTCGTGTGGAATATTAGCACCAGCCAGACTGCATGGGCTGAATGGCTTTTTCCTGAGATTGTTCAATCCTTGCTCATAGCTGGTTCCCCTAAAACTAGCCATGATCCTGCTTGCTTTCCTCTACCCTGCTTTAAGGAGTTGAGCAGACGGTTTTTCAGCCATTGCCTCAATCCTTCCATCTTGCTCTTTGCGTAGGTAGACTCCAGCTATTACCCCAACACGCACTCTGGGCTCCCACTTGCCTTGGCTCTTGTCAACCTGCACCGAATACTTTCCGGCAATAGTTAAGCAGGATGGACACTCCAGAGTGAAGTTGCTCATTCCATCTACAATCTATCGCTTTTGTTTCCACTACACGTGGGATGCATGGACATCTCAGATTTGGTTGGATACTGTTTGGTTTGGTGATGGATTTTCGAAGGTGATAAAAATAATATTCAGTTCGGCAACTACACTGCTGTTTAAGTGCTGTGAGATGCCAAACACGTGAAGGAGGCTATATTGTTGTTCTTGCTATTGTTTTGTTGACTTCTCTGAGATGTCCCTTTTCGTGGCTGTAGCTCCACGAATATCTAATGCTGGTTTAAAATTCACCCCTGTAGCTCAGTGTTTCAGTCTATTGTGGATCTGGAGATCCATTCAGAATTCAGATTTAATGCTCAATCTTAAACTTAAACTTCACGACTGAATTGCCTCCATTTTCTTTCTCTTTCCCCAAAAGTAGATATGAATTTGTTAAGATGGCTCTCATGGCATTGATGTTTCAGGAGTTGAATGTAGCTCGCCTGATCTTATTAGCCCCAAGTCTAGAGTCCAAAACCCAGTTATGACACTTGAAAATATGCATAAAATGCAACATTGCCTGTTTGCATTGATAACGTTTCGCTGACTGTTACATACATGAGGGTTCAAAGAGCATGAACACGAGATTGAAGCATTGAACACAGGCGAATTAGGCAGTTTGCTCAAATACATCAAAGGGAAGGTTGACGTTGCAGGTGGTATTCTCACACTGGTGCTAGTCTGATGATGGATAGGACGCTGAGTGATTGGGGAAGAGAAATAGATACAAAAATTTTTATTTATATAGCACCCTCATGCAGGGCAGCATCCCAGAGCGCTCAAACCATAACCGACTATAAAAGGTATATATTGTAAGATGAACTGTATAGAGAAGAGTGAAGTGTGTTATTGCTCAAATGAAGAGATTAATAAAAAAATTCAGCACCACCTGCACGTTACAGAGCAATGTACAACGCGTGACAGTCTGGCTCAGTGCTCTCTCTCGCTCTCTCACCTGTGTCAGAAGGGTGAGTTTTCCACAAGTCTGGCCCTGAAATAACATGGTCTAAGGTGAGAATCCAATGCAGTGCTTGGGGTATTTTTCATTATCAGAGGGGCAATGCCAAAGCAGTAGAGTTCCAGAACAGGGAAAGAGGAGATGAAAGTTTGTCCTCTGATGTTCGGGAACATCAGGAATGGGACAGAAAGTACATATGAGCCAGAGTGGAGAGAGAAGCTCGGGCAAGTGGGTTTGAAAAACGTCACAGAGTTAGAATGGGCGAGTCATGCAGAGATGTAAACAAGGGGACACGGATCTGAATTGAATCTGTAAGAGAAGCTTTCTCAACAGTTTTCTGAAGGTACGCCACACATTTTGAGGTGGGTAAACTCCATCAATGTTCCCTATCCATAACCATACCCAATTAGGTCCCCAATCTTCCACTCTTGCCAATTTGTGCCTAATACTTTCTGGAATAAGGCTAAAAGTAGATATGCCTCTGGTACATTCCATTCCATTCTGTGGAGTCCTGTAGCTCAGTGGTTAGAGCACTCGCTTTGCAAGTGAGAGACCTGAGTTCAATTCCAGGCACAGGGCGAAACCTTGGGCAAGTTTCCTTACTCCACACGCCTAATAATAATCCCTCCAAAAAACAAAAACAATAATAAATTGGTCATTTTCAATCTACGACTGTTTGTGGGACATTGCTGTGCGCAATTGGCTGCCGCGTTCGCCCACAAATATACAGTCAATTCACTTTACAGTCTATTCTGTGAAGCGCTTTGGGACGTCCTCCCGACGTGAAAAGCGCTATATCAAATGCAAGGATTATTATTATTATTATTATTATTATTAAGCAAAGAGTGTTTGATGTGTTGGTGGGTGGAAGCATTCTCAGTCTGGTTTGGATATCCTTAATCACGGTGATGGCTTTGTACATGTGCCAGACACGCGGCAACCAAATCACATACTATAGGATTGAGTGGAGCGAGAGGATGATGGTAATACAGTACAAAATCACATTCTTATCGGGAGTACATAATGATAGAGATATGGAGACTGGTGTAGGATCTCAAACAAGCTGCAGTTTTGTATGGTCTGCAGTTTGAGTAGAGAGCGTGTTTCAATGCCATTGAGTAAGGGATTCATATAGTCTCGCCTCAATATAAGAAAAATGTAAGTATGTTTTGCACACCCCAGGGGAGGGGGTGTAAGACGTGCAGTTGCAGGTCAGCAACCTTATAGAGGTGAGCGAAAGCCAAGAGAGTGAGTGAGAGCCAACATACATGGATTAGAGGACAGTTTAGGGGGCAATGTTCTTCTCATTGGCTCAGAAAGGTGAATTTAGCTTTGATGCAGATTGATGCCATCAATACGTAGCGTGAGCAAGCACTGTCAGGACTCAAAGAGGTGAGCCTCCATCTTGATTACATTCAACTGAAGATAGACGGAGATCAATCAGTACTTGATGTCTTACAGTGTGTGTTTGTCAGTGCTGGTGTCATGGGGCTGAGTTGAAGGGTATGTATTTCGGTTTGGTGGTATGGGGCTGAGCTGGTGAAGTGTTTGTGTATGTCAGTGTTGTGACTTGGGGGTTAGTTGTGGAAGTATATGTGTGTCATTATTGGTGGCGTGCAGCTGAGATGGTGAAGTGTGTGTATCAGTGTTGGAAACATGGAGCTGAGATGGTGAAGTGTGTGCATCAGTATTGGTAACATGCAGCTGAGATGGTGAAATGTGTGTATCATTGTTGGTAACATGGAGCTGAGAGGGTGAAGCATGTGTGTCAGAGTTGGTAGGATGGAGCTGAGCTTGTTATGTGTGTGTGTGTCAGTGTTGGTGAGGAGACCATGGGGCTGAGCTGATGGAATTTGTGTGTGTCATTTTTGGTGACATGGAGCTGAGCAGGTGAAGTGTGCGTGCGTCAGCGTTGGTGACATGGGGCTGAGCAGAAGTGTGTGTGATAGTGTTGGTGATGGCACCCTGGGGCTGAGCTGGTGAAGTGTGTTAGTGTCAGTATTTTTGAGGGCACCCTGGGGCTGAGCTGGTGACATGTGTTGTTGTCAGTTGGTGAGGGCAACATGGGGCTGCGCTGGTGAAGTGTGTGTGGGTTAATGTCGTTGAGGATACTATGGGGCTTTGCTGGTGAAGTGTGTGTCAATGTCTGTGCCATGCGGTTTTGTTGGTGAAGTGTGCTAGTGTCTGTGGCATGGGGCTGAGTTGTGGACTTGGGTGTTTCAGAGTTGCTTGCATGGGGCTGAGCTGGAGAAGTCTGCGTGTGTCAGTGTTGGTGGCCAGATGCTGGGCTGTAGATGTGTATGTGTACCAGTGTTGATTAGTGCAGTCCTGTAGCTCAGTGGTTAGAGCACTCGCTTTGCAAGTGAGAGACCTGAGTTCAATTGCAGGCAGAGGGCGAAACCTTGGCCAAGTTTCCGTACTCCACACGCCTAATAATAATCCCTCCAATAATAAATTGGTCATTTTCAATCTACGACTGTTTGTGGGACATTACTGTGCGCAATTGGCTGCCGCGCTCGCCCACAAATATGCAGTCAATTCACTTTACAGTTTGTTCTGCGAAGCTCTTTGGGACGTCCTCCCGACGTGAAAAGCGCTATATCAAATGCAAGGATTATTATTATTATTATTGATGACATGGTGCTCTGTAGAGGAAGTATGTGTTGGTGGCATGGGGATGATTTGGGGATGTGTGTGCGTCAGTCTTGGTGAGGACACCATGGTGATGATCTGGAGATGTGTGTTTTTGTCACTGCGGATGGCATGGAGCTGGACTGGGCAAGCGTGAATGCCAGGAAAAACCCGGGAAGGAATGTTAAAACAAGGCCAGTCACACTGACGTCAGTGGGAGGGAAACTTCTGGAAACCATAATCCGGGATAATATAAAATTCCACTTAGTAAAATATGGGTAAATAAAAGACAGTCAACATTGGTTTATTAAAGACAAATCGGGCCTGAAGAACCCGATAGAGTCTTTTGATGAAGGATTGGAGAGTGTGGATGAAGATAGTGCAGTTGATGTAGTTTACATGGATTCTCAAAGGTGTTCGGTAAAGTGCCACATAAGAAACTTTTAAGCAAAATGGAACCCCACGGCATCAAATGCACAGTAGTAGCATTGATACAGAACTGACTGGGAGACAGAAAGCAGAGAGGGATGTGTATACCGGTGCCCCCCATGGGTCGCTATTGGATCCTCTGCTGTTTCTGATCTACACAAATAACCGGGACTTTGGTGTAGGAGGATAATTTCCAAATTTCCAGTTGAGACTTAGCTCGGAAAGGTAGCAAACAGTGAGGAGGATCGTAGCTGAATGTAAGGGGACACAGACAGACTGGTCAAATGGGCAGACACGTGACGTATACATCTTACTGTGGATAAATGTGAAGTAATACATTTTGGGAGGAAGAATGAGGAGGGCAATGTAAAATAGATGGTAGAATCTTAAAGGGGGTGAAGGAAAAAAGAGACTGGGGGTTATATAAGTAAATCTTTGAAGGTGGCAGGACAGGTATATAATGCTGTTAAGAAAGCATACAGAATACTAGGCTTTATAAATAGGGGCATAGTATACAAAAGTCAAGAAGTTATGATGAACATTTATCAAACAATGGTTAGGCCTCAGCTAGAGATTGTGATAAGTGATGAGCACCACACTTTAGGAAGGATGTCAATGGATTGGAAAGGGTGCAAAGGAGATTTACAGCAGGAGACCAGGAATGAGGGACTTCAGTTATCAGGAGAGGCTAGGGAAGCTAGGATTATTCTCCTTGGAGCAGATAAGGTTTAGTGGAGCCTTAATAGAAGTTTTCAAAATGATGAAGTGATTCGATAGGGTGAACAAGGGGAGGACACCGATTTAAAATAGTTGTTAAAAGAAGCAGCGGGGAGGGGTAGGAGAATTTTTTTCGGATCTGGAATACATTGCCTGAAAGGGTTGTGGAAGCCGATTCTAGAGAAGAAGTAGAGAGAAGTAGATGATTATTTGGGGAAGGCAAATTTGCATGGCTATGGGGAGAGAGCGGGGGAATGGTTTTGGTTTGGGCAGCTCTTTTCAAAGAGCCGGCACAGACGAAATCGGCCGAATGGCCTCCTTCTCTACTCTATGATTCTGCGGCTGCTGTATTCACCTACAAAATACAGATTCACTATGATTCGCCGTAAGCGGGGAAGTGTTTTGAGACATCTTCCTAACTTGAAAGAAAACAAATGCAAGAAAGGTCAGTACATTTACGCCTTACTGCATTTGAGTAAGAAATTTGAATATACTTAATTGCTGAATTGGAACTTGGCATGACGATAGTCTTGAAATTTATTTCATTGTAGGTTAAATGTCAATTGTGACAAAGTAGGAGAGTCCATGAGAAATGCTAACCTTGTGTTTTGCCTGAGAGATCACGTCTGGATTCTCTGTTAGCCTTGCAACTATTAAAAACGCTCAACACCTGTCGCAAATCTTACAAACTAGGCTGCACATAGCAGCAGTTGAGGGGATTTTGGAACATTGTTCGAAAGAGGAAACATTCTTATGAAACAGAGAACCACAAGAAAACAGATGTTTTAATTAAATGATCACCATCACCACTACTAAGCACATCTACATCTGGCAGGACTGAAACAGCGACCACATCTGGTGTTGCCCAACTGCATTGTGAATCGGTTGCACCACTTTGGGAGATTGGAGTGAGATGGCCTCCACGGAGACGGAACCAAGTGCCAGTGCAGAGGGCAATGGAATGACCGGTGGTGCGGATCAAACCCCGTACAACAGACCAACAGGTAACAGCTTCCCTTTAACTGCTTTTGAGGAAAATTTAAAGGGATGATAATGAACAAATGTAATGTGTTTATTAAGTACGTTTAAACAAAAGCACGTATATTTATCTTACACACTTTGGAACCAGAAGATCAGTCAATATTTATTGGGGTTGAGCAAATTCCTAATTTGTGAAATGGAAGATCAGGGACATGTTTGACGGTTCATGAACCAATCACTGATGATGACAGACCATCCAGACTGGCCCGTGGGCATGTCATGTAATGAAAATGCAGCCAACCTGACAGATGGGCAGGGCTTACAGTGACATACCAGCCTGCCTGGCACATGGTCAGGTCTAGCAGTGAAAGATCATTCCTAGGGAACAGCATGCTTCCAAATCAGCTCCTGCTAAGGTTGCAAACCAAAGCCATTGAGGGTAAAATGGACACAGTCCACGTGTATGATAGACAAATCTACTGCACCGCTTCGCCTTTCTCGTCCAGCTGCAACTCCTAGTCCGCTAATGCCCTGTCAGTTTGTGTGACGGGCATCATGGCGTGGATAAGTGCAAACTTCCTGCAACTTAACTTTAGCTTTATAAATGGAATCTTGTTGTTGTTGTTGTTAACGTCTGCAAGATGGAAGCCATACACTTTGGCTCCCGCCAACGACTTATTTCTTGTGGCTCCAAACTCCTCAAACTTCTCGGGCTCTCCCACAAACACACCCTACCCGTGCGAAAATTAGGTATTAGGTGCTCTCTGTAGCCTTCCTTTCTCCCCCACATCCGTTCCCTGACCAGTTCAGTTTGTTTTTCCACCTCTGTCATATCACCCGCCTCTGTTCGTAAATCACATCCGCAACAGACAAAACCGTCACGGCTTTGCCACTTCTCGGCTGGACATTTCGAATGCCCTCCCTCCTGGTCTCCTTAGTTCCACCATAAAGAACATTTAATTACCTCCGTCATCCGGATGCTAAACCACAGAAAAGAGAGGATCCAAATCACTTCAGTCCTTGCCAGGCTGCACTGGCTCCCAATTTCCGTAAGGATTGATTTTCAAATCCTCTCTCTCGTTTTCAAATCCCTACATGTCCCTGCACCTCCCTACCTTTCCGACTTGCTCAACGCCCACTCCACCACCTGCTGCTTTGGGAGGATAGGAATTCCAATTTCAGCCATGGGACTTTAACCTGTAAACTTCTGACTCTGGTATGAATGTGTTCAACGGAAGAGATCAACTGGAGATGTTCAAAATTAAGAAGGATTTTGATCGAGTAGAGTGGGAGAAGCTCTTTCGTCTGGAGTGTAGATCAGTAACCAGGGGACAGACATTTAAGATAATTGGCAAAAGAACCAGCGAGGATTCCTGCAGTGGATTGTCAGGCTGGTCTGTGAGGACAACATTCTTATGTGGAGCTTGAAACCACAACCTTCTATCTCAGGGGTGAAAGTGATACCAACTGCACCAGGCTGACAGGTGTATGATGTCAGCTACTAAATGGTATTTTTGACCAACTGAGGTCTGTTTGTTCAGGGCTTTTTTACGATCAACATAGTAATATTTTCCGAAACATGTTTCGAGGAAAAGGAGTAAAATAATATCTGATTAATGTTTTTATTGGTTGCTAACAGGTACAAATGCCTTATTCACTGAGACCTTGGCCCTGTACGACGAGTACCAGCTGCACAGACTGACAAAGTTCTACCGGGACCGATTGGAACAGGCCATTGAGGAAGGCGTGGAGGACATCAGCTCAAGGCTCAGACAGAAGGAATGTTTCACCCCGCAGGAGCACACAGTAGGTTTGCGTCAGATTGTAACATTTCCCTTTCATTTGTTAAAGTCTCACCTAGACAGTGCTTGGCTGCACGGCTCAGGTACTGTTTTTTTCAGAAAATCAACAGAATAGCAAACAAACAGCTTATGCAAACAGTTATGTTAAAACACAGACATGCACCATATGTGTGTCGTGGATCAGTACGGCACAGTGTAAGAGGTGTCTGTACGACCAAAAAACTGAGAACAGAAACTTGTCGTTATTTAACGCCGTTCGTGTGGCGAGGAAGTCACAAGGCACTGGACAGTGAAGTTAGAGCCCGAGCTGGATTTGGGAAGTGTCGGGGAGGGCACATGATGAAAGGCGTGGTCATAGAGGAAAGCAGTTTGTGGATGGAAGAGAAAGCAAGTCCAGCAAATCCGTCAATGGAGCTGGGTATTGCTGATCACTGTCACTGTTCATGTTTCACACCATCTTCAATACATTAATACTCACTCTACGCAGAAACTCACTGAGCTCACACACAGTGGGCAGAGGAGACAAAGCTCCAAATTTCTTCTGAACCTGGTGATGGTGAAAGGTTCTGAGGCCCGGAGAGTGATGTGGGAATCCTTTGTGAAAATGAGACCCACTTTGCCCAAACTGAACAAAATCATGACGGAAATACAGCAACAAGGTAATGTGTGATGTTTCTCTGTGCCTCCACTCACATCTTACTGAGACACCATCCCTTCAATTTAATAATATTAACTCTATTCAAAACAGGTGCCAGTCTAGTGGATGAAGTGACCATTGACCGAAGTGTATCAGATGTCTCCAGTGATCTGAAAGGTATGTGAAAGGGACAAGATACAAACCAGTCAATCACTTCTGAAGTGTACAGTTTGGCAGTTTACCATTTTCTGATGATATCCAGAAAATGCAAGCGAGGAGAGGGGAGGGGTAATGTGGGAGGAAGGAGCGAAGATTGGAGTGGAGAAAGGAGTATGTTGGGGAGAGGGATGTATGGTGGGCAGAGGGGATTATGGAGTAGGGAAGGGAGTATGGAGTGGGTAGGGGAGCATGGAGGGGAGAGAGGAGCATGGAGGAGACAGTTAAGCATGCACGGAAGAGGGGAGCATACAGGGGAGTGGGGAGCCCAGAGGGGAGCATGGAGTGGAACACGGAGGGTAGAAGGGAGCATAGAGGGGCGAAAGGAGTATGGAGGGGCCCATTGAGGGGAGCATAGAATTGCGAGGGGAGCATGGAGGGCAGCATGCAGGGGAGCATGGAGGAGAGAGGAGAGGTGAATATGAACGGGAGAGGCAGCATGCAGGGGAGTGGAGAAGGGGAATATAGAAGTGAGACAGTATTATAGAGGCGAGAGGGATCATGGAGGAGAGGGATTATGGAGGGACGAGAGGCGTATGGAGGGATGAGAGGCATATGGAAGGGATAGGAGAACATGGAGGGGAGATGAGAGAGGGGCGTATGGGGGGAGAGGGGCGTATGGGGGAGAGGGGCGTATGGGGGGAGACGGGCGTACGGGGGGGAGAGGGGCGTACGGGGGGGAGAGGGGCGTACGGTGGGGAGAGGGGCGTACGCGGGGGAGAGGGGCGTACGCGGTGGAGAGGGGCGTACGCGGGGGAGAGGGGCGTACGCGGGGGAGAGGGGCGTACGCAGGGGAGAGGGGCGTACGCAGGGGAGAGGGGCGTACGCAGGGGAGAGGGGCGTACGCAGGGGAGAGTGGCGTACGCAGGGGAGAGTGGCATACGCAGGGGAGAGGGGAGTACGAAGGGGAGAGGGGAATACGAAGGGGAGTGGGGAGTACGAAGGGGAGTGGGGAGTACGAAGGGGAGAGGTGTGTGTCAAGGGGAGAGGTGTGTGTCAAGGGGAGAGGGGTGTGTCAAGGGGAGAGGGGTGTGTCAAGGGGAGAGGGGTGTGTCAAGGGGAGAGGGGTGTGTCAAGGGGAGAGGAGTGTGTCAAAGGAAGAGGAATATATCAAGCGGAGAGCGGTGTGTGGAGAGGAGAGAGGTGTATGGAGGGGAGAACGGAGCATGGATGGAGTGGTTAGCATGGAGGGGAGAGGGGATTATGGAGCAGAGAGGGGATTATGGAGTGAAGAGGGGAGAACGGAGAGGGGAGTATGGAGGGGAGAGGGGTATATGTAGGGGAGTATGGAGAGGAGAGGGGAGTATGGAGGGGAGAGGGGAGTATGGAGGGGAGAGGGGAGTATGCATGGGAGAGGAGAGTATGGAGGGGAGTGGTAAGTGTGGACGTGAGAGCGAAGTGTGAACGTGAGAGCGAAGTGTGGAGAAGAGAGCGAAGTGTGGACGTGAGAGCGAAGTGTGGACGGGAGAGCGAAGTGTGGACCGGAGAAGGGAGTATGGACGGGAGAGGAGAGTATGGTGGGGAGAGGGGTTTATGGCGTGTAGAGGGGTGTATAGAGGGGTGTATGGAGGGGAGACAGGAATATGTAAGTGAGAGCGCAGTATGGAGGGGAGCGGGGATTATGGAGGGGAGCGGGGATTATGGAGGGGAGCGGGGAGTATGGAGGGGAGCGGGGAGTATGGAGGGGAGCGGGGAGTATGAAGGGGAGAGGGGAGTGTGGAGAGTAGTATGGAGGGGAGACAGGACTATGGAGGGGTGTATGGATGGGAGAAGGGAAAATGGAGGTGAGAATGGAGTATGGAGGGCCGACAAGATGCGAGTATGAAGGGCAGAGGGTAGGAGGGAGGGACAGTAGACAGATGAAGGAAGATGGGAGAAGGGAGATGAGGAGTGAGGGGAATGATCCTTATATAATTCTTAAATTACTTCAGCAAATAGTACATTGGAATGATCTTTCCCACAAGAAGTCACACATTCATTATATAATGCCCAGAAAATCTACCGTTTTTTGAATATTCTGACCTGAGTTCAATTCCAGGCAGGGGGCGAAATCTTGGGCAAGTTTCCTTACTCCACACGCCTAATAATAATCCCTCCAAAAAAACAAAAAACCACAATAAATTGGTCATTTTCAATCTATGACTGTTTGTGGGACTTTGCTGCGCGCAATTGGCTGCCGGGTTTGCCCACAAATATACAGTCAATTCACTTTACAGTATATTCTGTGAAGCACTTTGGGACGTCTAGCAGTCGTGAAAAGCGCTATATCAAATCAGGGATTATTGCTATTATTATTAATATAATTCAGATTGCTTATTCCTTGTTTTTTCAGCTCAGTTTCTGTTCCTCTTGTCTCGCAGTCAGAGATATGGGTTTCAGTTCACAATATATAAATACGGAAATCAGGGTGGCATGTCGCAAAAACAACGTGGTTATAATGGGAGATTTTATTTTTCACATAGACTGGGAGAAGCAGGACACCTCAAGTAGTAACGACTTAAAAGGCATTCTGTAAAAGTAGTTTTGTTGTTGTTGTTGCGTTCAGTTTTGGGCACCACACCACAAGAAAGATATATTAGCTTTGGAAGGGCTGCAGCGCAGATTCACCAGAATGTTACTGGGCCAAAAAGGGTTAAGTTACAAGAAAGGCTGCTTAAACTTGGATTGTACTCCCTCGAGTTTGGAAGATTGAGGGGTGATTTGATGGAGGTTTTTAGGGCGATAAAAGTATTTGATAGAACAGGTGCAGAAAGCTATTTCCTGGGTTGGGGGAATGTAGATCAAGGAGGATATTCTTACACGTAGAACCAGACCATTTAAGAGTGAAAGTAGGAAGCATTTTTTCCCTCAAAGGGTGTTAGAAATCTAGAACTCTCTCCCCCAAAAGGTCATGGATGCTGGATCCATCCACTCCTTCAAGAAAGAGATTGACAGATTTTTAACAGGTCGGGGTATTAAAGGAGAAAGCAGGAAATTTGATTTGAAATTCCAGTAAAGATATAGATCAGCCATGATCTAATTAAATGGCGAAACTGGCTGAACGGCCTACTCCTGTTCCTATGTGCCTATACATCAACAGGATATGTTGACACTCCAGTGCCATTCTGGGATGTGTTACATTGCAGTAGATGGCGTCATTTGGACATGAAACAGATCCTGTCTGCCTATTCGGGTGGATGTTAAAGATCCAGCGGCACTATTTCAAAAGAGAATGGAATTTCTCTCTCCCGGATACCTGGCCAACAATCCCTCAAATAATAATAATAATAATCCTTGCATTTGTTATAGTGCTTTTCACGTCGGGAGGACGTCCCAAAGCGCTTCACAGAACACACTGTAAAGTGAATTGACTGTATATTTGTGGGCGAACGCGGCAGCCAATTGCGCACAGCAATGTCACACAAACAGTCGTAGATTGAAAATGACCAATTTATTATTGTTTTTGGTTTTGGAGGGATTATTATTAGGCTCTGTGTGGAGTAAGGAAACTTGCCCAAGGTTTCGCCCTCTGCCTGGAATTGAACTCAGGTCTCTCGCTTGCAAAGCGAGTGCTCTAACCACTGAGCTACAGGACTCCGATGATAATGAACAAATGTAATGTGTTTATTAAGCGCTTTTAAACAAAAGCACGTACATTTATCTCACATACTTTGGAAACGAAAGATCAGTCAATATATATTGGGCTTGAGCAAATTCACAATTTGTGAAATGGAAGATCAGGGACATGTTGAACGGTTCATGAACCAATCGCTGATGATGACAGACAATACAGACTGACCCATGGCAGGTTTTGCAGTGAAAATACATCCAACCTGACACATGGGCAGGGCTTGCAGTGACATACCAGCCAGATCGGCACGTGGTTAGGTCTTGTTGTGGAAGATCATTCCTGGGGGATAGTATGCTTCCAAATCAGCTCCTTCTAAGGTTGCAAACCAAAGCCATTGTGTGGAGTGTAACCACTGAGCTACAGGACTCCACGATGTAGTCACACACGTCCCGACTACTTGTGGCTGCTGTCGCTTTCCGCAATGTGGCTGCTGCATCTGCCCAACAAACACAGTCATCACACTTTAAACTAAGTCGTATGCAGCGCTTTGGAATGTAATCCTTCTTTCAAAGCCCCTTAACTGAAACTAAATGTCATTTTTTAATAATGCTAAATAATTCCTCAATTTACTCTCCGATTGATCATTGTTCCACATGAAGCCATTCAGCAATTGCACAAGGAGACGTTAAAGAAACAAACTGAGAAACTGGAAGTGAAGACCATCGTGATAAAGGAGAAGGTGAAGCAGTTTCAGTTGGTTGATCGCTACACGGAGCTGACAATCATTTCTGATGTACGTGACCGGGATCTGGTAGAACATGAGCTGCTGTTGAGAGGCAGAGAACACGAGGAGTGGAGACAGAAGCAGCTCCGGGGAGAGCTGGAAAAAATCCGAATTGATAAACTGTTCCACAGCAGCTTCTCTGGAGGAGGTCTATTTTCCTGGTTGAAAAAAATCTTCAAGAGAAGCGGACCTGGCAATTTCACAGGGTCTTCCGCAGTAGTGAGTGGAGTGGCTGGGATTGGAAAAACAACTATGGTGCAAAAGATTGTCAATGACTGGGCCACAGGCAAAATCTATTCTCACTTTCACTTCATATTTATTTTTAAATTCCGAGATCTAAACAGATTAAACTGCAGAATTACACTGAACCGCCTGACCGTGGAGCAGTATCCTTACCTCAGGGGTGTTCTGGATGAGCTGTGGAAACAACCAGAGACATTGCTCTTTATATTTGATGGTTTGGATGAATTTAGGGGAAGTATTGATTTCGCTGACAATCGGAGAGACACAGAGCCTCAGCGCAGGTGCACAGACCCTGAATTCCGTTGTAAAATGTCTGACATTGTGTACAGTTTAATACAGAAAAAGCTGCTGCCAGGCTGCTCAGTGCTGGTGACCAGCCGCCCCACTGCATTACAGTTACTGGCAAAGGCTCAGGTCAGTGTCTGGGCTGAAATCCTGGGATTTGTGGGTGAAGAGAAAAGGGAATATTTTCACAAGTTCTTTGAGGATCAGGAGGTGGCGGCTGCTGTTTACAGCCACGTGGAGGAGAACGAGCTCCTGCTCACCATGTGCTACAACCCGTCCTACTGCTGGATCCTCGCTCTGTCTCTGGGTCCCTTCTTTACACGGAAACACAGCAACAAACAGCGAGTTCCCAAGACAGTCACACAACTCTTCTCCTATTATATTTATAACATTCTATCACATCACAGTGTCAAGATGGAAAGCCCCCGTGATGTGATGCTGAAGATTGGTGAGATGGCCTTCACTGGAGTCTCCCAGAGAAACATTGTCTTTAATGATGAAGATCTGATCAAATATAACCTCCAGCCTTCCCAGTTCCTCTCTGGGTTTCTCGTGGAACTTGTGGAGAGAGAGTCTTCAGATCACAGCGTGGTCTACACTTTTCCGCACCTCACCATCCAGGAATTTGTAGCCGCAGTCGCTCAGTTCCTGTCTCCAAATACAGGAGATCTGCAGAAACACCTCAATAAAGCTCACAGGGAGGAGGACGGCCGGTTTGAGATATTCCTGCGCTTTGTTGCTGGTCTCTCCTCCCCACGGGCAGCTCAGCCACTGGAGGAGTTTCTGGGCCCATTTGTCCATCAGACAACCTGTGCGGTGATCGATTGGCTGAAGGAGAAGTTTAAAGCTCAGATCAGTGACACGGTCACCGTCACTGGGAAAAGGAAGCTGCTGAACACACTCCACTACCTGTTTGAGTCTCAGAATCAAGCTCTAGCACAGCTCACACTGGGCTCTATACACACACTGACATTTGGTGACTCCTCTCCAGAGAAAGCATTGAGACTGACACCGATAGACTGTGTTGTGGTGTCTCAGGCCATTGGACTGTGTGACACAATAAAACAACTGAATCTGAAGAACTGCTACATTCAGGAGGAGGGTCTCCAGCGTCTGGTTCCTGCTCTGCACAAGTGTCAAGAGTTGCTGTAAGTTACTCTGTTTGTAAATCTTATTCATATTATTCTTATTTCAAAGCCATTCTCCTGGAATTTAATGACATTAAACACCAGCTGATCAATGGGAGAATAGTATCACACAGCTGGAGGGAACAGTGGGTCACACTGTGATGGCCGTCACACACCTCAATCCTGCCCTGGTGGATAGGGATGTGAATAGCTGACATTCCACTGTACACCTGGCTGCTCCGCATCCTGAGCCCTTTGGTGACATTCCCAGGTTGCTGATGTTATTGGGATTGGTTCCTGACTCCCGACTGGGATGCTCACTTTATTGAATAAATTGTAACTTGATCCCAGGTCAGACAGACCAGAGCTTACGTTCAGAGACACCATTCGGTGTTTCATGGTTATTCATACAGGAGATGGTTCTCCTGACCACAGAGTCTCTGACACACAAACACCCTTCTACGCTCTAAGCCTCTGAGCTTCCCACCAGCTCAGGACCCTGGGGATCACTCTCCTGAATCGTGTGGTTCGGTCGGAAGATTCCTGTGTCCTCTCATCCTGGCGGCAACTCCCCTCAGTGCTGTATTCCAGGGTAAAAAGACCTCCCGAGGGCTTCCCATTTATCCAGGGGCAGACACACCCTCTCTCCAGTACAATGTTATAACACTGATACAATATAATTCACCACAAACACATCTCCCTCAGCCTGACATCAGTCTGACAGGTGTGGGCTCCCCTGGCCCTGGTGAAGAGTCTCCATTTCCAGCTCCTGAGATCTCACAGCCACAGAGATTCTCTTTCCCAGGTCTGGGGCTCACAGTGTTTGGATAACGAGAGAATAGAGAGATACACTGCCCAGAACCTGGAGATTGCAGGCCGGGCTGCAGAAGCCAAGACATTAGCCTCACTCACACACTGACTGAGGGTTACAGTGCTGCTGGAATAGACTCAGCGTAAACTGTGCTGCTGCCAGGACCAGGCACTGGGGAGATCCCACTCCCTGTAGCCCCAGCAGCCCAGATTGTTAAGGCGTCTTGTCCAGATAAGGTGCTGTAACAAATGCAAGGCTTATTATGATTATTATTATCTGATGCTGTCTCTTACACCAGCTGCACTTTGTCTCCACAAACAGTTGTGTTTCTCTGTCTCTCCCACAAAACACACAGTCACTACACTTTATAATATATTCTTTCTCAGTCTCTTTTTACGGTTAGTCTCTTTCTCTCTCTAAGTTCCTCTGTATGTGTTCTTTTCTATAAGTCTCTCTCTATCAGTCTCTCTCTCAGTCTTTCTCTGTGTCTCTCACTCTCTCTTTCAGTCTCTCTCTCAGTCACTTTCTCTATCACAGTTTCAGTCTCTCTGTCACTCCCGCAAAACACAGATTCGCTACACACACATATATATTCTTGCTCAGTCTCTCCCCATCTTTCTTTCTCTCTCTCTGTCTCTCCCACAAAATACACTGGATATATATCTCTCACTGCCTTTTTCTCCCTTTCGCTGTCAGTCTTTCTCCTCGTCTCTCTCTCGTTCTCTCTCATTCTCACTTTCTGTCTCTTGTTTTCACTCTCAGTCTCTCTCTCAATCTCAGTTACTCGCTGCTTCTTCCGTTGAGTCTCCCTTTCACTCTAATTCCCACAAAACACAGTCAATACACTTTTTAATAAATTAGCTCTGCGTGTGTGTCTCTCTCCCTCTCTCACGCACACACACACAATCTCTGTGCTTCTCTCTGACTCTCTCTTTCTCTGTCAGTCTCTACGTCTCCTCCACAAAACACAGCTATTACACTTAACGTATTCTCCCTCTCAGTCTCCCTCTCTTCACTAACTCTGTCTCATTTTCTATTTCTTTTGCAGTTATTTTCTCTCTCCTATTCTCTCTCTTTGTCACTCAGTCACTCTCTCTCTCTCTCTCTCAGTTTCCTTCTCTCTCTCTGTCTCTCAAAGAAAAACACACAGTCACTTCACATTTGTTTCCCTCTCGCTCATTCTATGAAAGCACGAGAGACTGAAAGAGAGAATAACTGCGAGAGAGAAAGAGACTGGGAGAGGGAGATAGAGATTGAGAGAGATAGACTGACAGAGAGAGGGAGGTGGGCAGTAAAAGACACCCAGAGAGAGAGAGTGGGGGAAGGCAGAGAAGCACTGAGAGAGAGAGAATGAGAGAGACAGAAAGCGAAAGATAATAAGAGAGCGACTGAGTGACAGAAATCTAGAGCGATATACCGAGAGAGAGACTGAATGAGAGGGGGAAGCACTGTGAGGGAGAGACTGGGAGAGAGAGAGAGAGAGAGAGAGAGACTGAGATAGAACCGGATACTGAGAGAGAGAGAGAAACTGTGAGAGAGAAAGATAAGCGAAGGACAGTAAAAGAGAGATATACTGAGAGGGAGTGACTACGAGAGAGAGAAGGAGCCTGGGGGAGATACACAGAGAGAGAAACTGAGAGAGACTGTGGAGAAAATATATTACAAACCGTAGTGACTGTGTGTTTTGTGGGAAAGACAGTGAAACTGGCAGAGACAGATTGAGAAAGGAAGACAGAGAGAAAGAGACAGAGAGAAAGAGACTGATAGAGAGACAAAGAGATAAACAGACTAAGAGAAAGGGGTAGAGACTGTGAGCGGCAATATAATTTGTAGTGACTGTGTGTTTGTGGGAAAGATTCAGCGAGAGACTGTGAGAGTTGCTGATAGAGATTGAGCGAGAGGCTGAATGAGAGAAAGACAGCGACAGATGGAGAGCGAGACTGAGAGTTGGAGAAAGAGACACACTGACTCAGGGAGCGAGAGATAGAGAGAGAGAGAGACTGGGAGAGATACTGAAAGAAAGTAGAGAGAGATAGAAAATGAGAGAGCGATAGACTGACAGGCAGAGAGGCAGAATGAGCTACTGAGAGATAAACAGCGAAGCAGTGAGAGAGGGAGAATAAGAGACACAGAGCGAAAGACTTAGAGAGAGAATGGGAGAGAGACTGAGTGAGAGAAAGATAGAGCAATGGTCAGATAGAGAGATGGTGTGAGTGAGAGCCGGTAGAGAGAGAATGGGAGAGAAAGGTAGATACTGAGAGAGAAACTGAAACAGAAAGAGAAAGCGGCAGAGAGAAAGAAAGACTGAGACAGATGGACTTTGAGAGAGAGAGAACAAAATTGGGAGAGATAAACAGAAAGAGAGAGAGACTGAGAGCGACTGTGGAGAAAATATACTAAAAGCTGTGGTGAATGTGTGTTTTGCGTAAAAGATAGAAAGAGAGACGGAGAGAGAAAGCGGCTGAGAGACACTGTAAGAGAGAGACACAATGAGATACAGAGAGAGAAAGAGAGAAGAGAGAGAGAGAGAGAGAGAGACTATGAGAGGATATATAACATATAATGAATGTGTTTTCTGGGAGAGACTTAGCGAGAGATCGTGGGAGAGACTGAAGGGGAGACCGAATGAGAGAAAGACAGAGCGATAGTCAGAGACTCAGAGAGTGATGGGTGGGGGGGAGGGGTGATAGACAGACAGAGAGAGACACAGACAGACAGACGGACGGACGGACGGACGGACGGACGGACGGACGGACGGACGGACGGACGGACGGACGGACAGACAAAACGAGGGAGAGATACAGACAGATAGAGAGAGAGAGAGACAGACAGACACACAGAGAGAGACACAGACAGACACAGGCAGAGAGAGAGTGAGAGAGATTGTGAGACAGAGTGAGAGACAGACAGACAGAGAGACAGACCGACAGACAGATAGACAGAGTATCAGAGTGACATACAGACAAACAGTCACGCACCGACAGACAGACAGACAGGAAGAGTGACAGACGGACGGACGGACGGATGGAAAGAGTGAGAGATTCAGAGAGAGTCTGAAAGAGACTGAGATAGCGACTGAATGAGAGAAAGACATAGCGAGAGGCAGAGCGAGATTGAGTGGGAGAGAGAGAGAGAAAAGACACTGTGACAGAGAATATATTGTGTATTGTAGTGACAGTATGTTTTCGGTGTGAGACAGAGACTGAGAGAGTGAGAATGAGAGAGAGTGACTGAGAGAGAGAGAGAGAATGACAGATACACAGAGAGAGAGAGATGGAGAGAAAGTCAGAAAGAGAGATTGAGAGGGAATGAGAGAGAGCGTCTTCATGAGAGGAAGAGAGAGCGAGAGGCAGAGAGACTGTGTGAGAGAGAGATGGAGAGAAAGCGAAAGCCAAAGAGAAAAAGAGGATTAGACTGAGGTAGACACAATGATTGTGAGACTGAGACTGAGGGAGGGAATGTATTGTAAAGTGTAGAGTCTGTTTGCTTTGTGGACAAGACTGAGAGAGAGATTAAGACAAAGAGACTGAGAGAGATTAAGAGAGAGGGAGCCTAACAGAAAGAGAGAGATAGAATGTGATAGGAAATATAACGTAGAGTACTGTGTGTTTTGTGAGAGACACAGAGAGAGATACAACGAGAGACTGAGACAAAAATATATTGTAAGGCGCTTTGACTGTTTTGTGGGAGAGACAATGAGAAAATGTGAGAGTGACTGTTAGACAGACGGGGACTGAGAGTGTAAGAGGCTGATAAAGAGAGAGACAGAGTCAGAAAGAGAGAATGAGAGTGACAGAGCGAGAGACAGAGAGAGATTAAGTGAGAGAAAAACAGTCAGAGATAGCGAGAGAGGCTCAGAGAGAAACGGAGTAAGAGACTGGGAGAGAAACGGAGAGAGAGAGATAGACTGAGATAGAAGGTGAGTGTAAACATATTATAAAGTTTAGTGCCTTTCGTCTTGTGAGACACAGAGATAGACTGAGAGAGAATGAGAGAAAAAGAGAGAGATAAACCGAATGAGTTAGAGGAAGAGAAACTGAGAGAGAGAGACTCAGATGGAGAGTGAGAGATAGTATGAAAGTGATTGCGAAAGAAAATATATTATTAAGTGTAGTTACTGTATTTTGTGGGAGAGACAGAGAGAAAGAATCTGAGAGGGAGACTGAGTTAGAGAGAGAGAGAGAGAGAGAGAGAGAGAGAGACTGAAAGG